GGGGTGCTGCATTCAGCAGCTTCCTTAGGGGAAGCATGAAGGCTCCTGCTGCCTGGGAGAGAGTGGTGACAAAGGAAACACCAGGAAAGGGAAGAAAGGCTTAGGACAGAGAAAGCACAGGATGCGCCCTAAGCTTTTACTTAACTTCATTTTGTTTTCCCAAGGTTGTTCCCTATGGTAAATGTTGGAGTTGAGGAGAGAGGAAAGGGAGGAGCACAGCATGAGTCAGAAATGATGTCATTAAACATGTCTGGAAGAGCACAATGCCAGCCACGAGGAGACTGTGGGACACCATCATGGAATAAAAGTGCCATGTAACTGTGGCACTAAGGGTGCTATGTGAAGAAGGTGTTCCTTTAAGCCCTCCAGAAAGACCAAACACTTCATGTTTATGTGCAACACATACACACACTCCAGTAAAGAAAAATCTGAGGCAGACAAGGTCTCCTCCATCTCACAAATGGGCTATAAGCTGTGCATAAATGCAGGGACCAGGTCTAAGGACAAGTAAGTCTCAGAGTAGGGTGACAATAAGAGCCCAGATCACCTCACCGGGAACCCACTTGGCTTGCAATGAACATCTTTACTCTAAGGTTTTATTCCCCTACCAAAGTGTACCACAACATCCATTCTCTAGTAAATATTTCTCATGTTTAAGACAGCACGACAGTAATAAATCAGCCCTCAAAGTCAGCTGCTATAAATGCCATGTGTTATCAGTTAGATCACACACCAGAGCCAAATTTTCAAAACATTTCCTTTTGAAATACTCACAACATTTTAACAGATGTCTTTTGGAGAGTTTTGAAGCACAATAAGCTCCCATCAACATACAAAATAAAACCAAAAAGAAAGTAAAATGTGGAGAGATTATATTTTTCTTTTGGCAGTAAGACAAAGGTGGGGGCAAATCTTGAGATATTTGGAGAAATGCTTGTTCACAGCCACAAAAGTGAAGAAATTAATAATGTCTGTTATTTCCTGCTCTGAACACTGACCAAAAATATATAACTCTAGCTTTCGTGGAAGCAGTTTCCTGGGCAGCTAGAGAAAGGATGTGAGGGTGTAAATTATGGGGCCATCAGGGACAGAAATGGGATGCAAGCATCCAAAAAGCATCTTTTGTCAGGGACAAGATGGGCAAGACCAGCGGTGGCTGATTCTAAAATGGTGCATCTTGGAGTCTAAGCCCTCTCAAAATCAGTGGTAGGAGGGCCAGAATGGGAACCTAGAAAAGGAAGGAGAAAGTTTTATGTATGTGTTTTTCTTCAACATTTGTTTATGAGAAAATTTGGAAGTACAGAAAAGTCAAAAGAATTGTGCAGTGAGCATGCCTATACCCATGAGAGGGATATCATTTTTCATGTGACAGTTTGTTTCCACTGGGGCTGATTTTGACCTTCAAAGAAATGCTCTTGAATGAATGAATGAATGAATGGTCTAACAATCTTCCCACCCATGTATTCTGGGGAAGCCTAGGTTGTTCACTGCTACTCCTGCACGCAGTGGTAATTTCAAGAGCAGGAGGCCCTATGGGTCTGCTTCTATCAACTATTGTTTTGGACGCTCCTTGCTCATGCTGTCTGGTCTCCTGCTCTTGCCTTGTTATCTTTGACTTTGTGCTGAATGTTATACTGAAAAATTCTATGTGGAAATAATTTGATCTTCTCTCTTTTGAGAGGATTTCTCTGTTTGCTTATGCTAGGCACACGGGGGTGCTAGCTGGCAGTACAACACATTCTGTTTAAGCAGTACCAAGGCAGTAGGAATATGGTTATGAACAAGAAATGGTTTCTGCCCTTATAAGTCTTACTAAGAATAAGCAATAGCATTCATTCAAATAGAGCCTATACAGAATAATGTAACTCACGCAAGCTTGACCAGCATGCGGCTTTTCCTCACCTTACCCATCTGCACCCATTAAGGAGAGGCATGCTGGGCCGTGCAGAGATGTGCTGAGGTAACAGTTTTCTTTCAGTTTTATTTCTTAAATAATTGAGAAGAAAATTCTATGAACTGATTACTGCATTCACCATGTAAAAACCTAATCAGAAATAATCAGAACGCTCTCGCTTCCTTTGACCAAACACCTAGGAGAGAGAATGCTTTAAAACACTACCCTCAAGCAGTTACTAATTTCATGGCAGAAATAAAACGAAAGTCCATTTGAATATTATAAGCCTAAATACCCTAAATCAACAGACCATCTGCAGGAACTTGAGTGCTTTAGTCGGGCAGTGGAACCAAAGAACACAGTCCTTTCACACACAAGCTCAAGAGTACCTAGTTTCAGCCCTCACAAGCTGGAGGTTGGAGCTACTATCAAAATAGCTGAGAGACCAATTATTTGAGAAGCAATCTTCTGTGAAAGATTACAGACAGAACTTGACTTCATGATGGTGACCAAAACAGAACGGACTGAGCTCTCTCTGGACTTGCCATCCTTAGTCACTTCCAGATGTTACCTCATGATTGGTTAATGGGATGGAGGGGCTTCTAAAACTGATGAAAAAATAAAAACCACTCCTCATCCCTCACTCCTGGCAAAAATACTCAACAGGAGAGATGACTTGGAAGATTTAAGGCAAATGACCAAACATACTAATATTAATATCATTAATATGTTATGCCCTGCAGTTTCCTGCTGTGTAGTTTTTTGAAATCCTTTCATGAGACACTAGAGCCTTTGGTTTCTTGGAAACAGGTTCCTTTACCACGTGGGCTTTGTTTTCTGGCTCCCTTTTTCCTACTTCCGTGAGTTTGCTATTTTGCATACCCAAGCGTCTTGAGACCTGCACATCACTATCTGTGACTGATTCTTAGGAGAGACCCAGGTTAATGCTTGAACTCAGGCCACATACAGCACATCTGTCAAAATAATCATTTTTCCTTTTTTTTATTTAAAAAAATTTTTTATGTTTATTCATTTTTGAAAGACAGAGAGAGAGCACAAGCCGGGGTGGGGGTGAGGCGAGAGAAGGGGACACAGAATCTGAAGCAGGCTCCAGGCTCTGAGCTGTCAGCACAGAGCCTGACGCGGGGCTCGAATTCACGAACCGCAAGATCATGACCTGAGCCAAAGCTGGATGTTCAACTGAGCCACCCAGCCACCCCAAAATAATCATTTTCAATGAGGGAGCCATAGACCCTACAAAAATCATTTATCTTAAATAACATTGAGATCAAAGTTAACTGGGCCTGAGGAGATGGCATTTGCTTTGCTTAAAAATTAATGAGCAACCCTGTCAGTTAAAATTTAGAAGCTTAGAAGAGAATTAGACCTTGAGCGTTCCACCTCCAAAACATGTCTGCCATAGGCTTAAAAACAGGTTAGAACTGGAATACATTAATACTGAGCCTCTGATGGAACCAAACGCTGCTTGTGGTTTCCTCTATTTGCTTCCACCTATCGGCACTAAGATGGTGAGTACCCGTGGGTTCTGTGGTGTCTGCTTCCTCCTGATATCTTGAACACAATCCTTACTGTATTTGGGTTTTCCATCAGTGTTAGAACACACAGGGCTCATATCATTCAAAGGCACAAAATAATTTGTTGAGCCCTTACAATGAGGAGGCATTTTGCTGGCGTCATGGAAGACTGAAAAGAAAATCAAATATGGCTCCTGACCCCTAGGAACTCATAATCTAACAGAAGAAATAGACACATCCAGGGATAGTTCAGGTTATGTTAAAGCAATGCTATATGGAAAGTGCTGTAATAGAGGCCTAATTGAATCCAAAGCTGACATGGTTTAGAGTTTAAAAGAGTTTCAATGTCCTTCTCAGTAGATCCTGAAAAGGGGATTCTAGTTACCTGATTATTCTCTAAATAGGACCAGCTATGTAATTTGTGGGGCCCGGTGCAAAATGAAAAGGTAAGGCCCCTTACTCAAAAAAGCTTGGTGTCCTGAGTGCAGGGCCTTGTCACATGCCCTTGAACCTGGTCTTGTCTTCAAATACAGTCTATGAATATGAGGAAGAGGCAAATTTTAAGCAACCTGGAGGAAGACATTGCACACAGGGAATTTTCTTTCAAGGAGCTCACAGGAAAATGAATTCACTGTAAGGAAGGAAAATAATTCAGTATTTCCCAAATTAACAAATTGGGATTGGGAGCTAAAGGAAAGTCACTATTTTGCAAAAACAGTGTCACAGATATGCCACGGCTACAAGGTAAGGACAATAATAATAGTAGCAGTAGTGGTGGTAGTAGCTGACACGGACTTAGAGAGCTTATTGAGTGCCAACATTCTTCTCAGTCTGTTCTGTATATTTACTCATTTAATCCTCAAGAGAATCCTGAAGGGTAGATAGATGCTGTTATCTCCCTATCTTCCAAATGAGGAAATTGACCTTAGAAAGGTTGAATACTTGTCCCTGGCCACAAAGCAAAGAAGTGGTAGAACCAGGATCTGAACTCAGACAGTCTAGCTCCAAAGTCTGTGCTCTTAACCGCTATTTATGCTACTTCTCATAAAATAGGGACCCGCTATTTATGCTACTTCTCATAAAATAGGGACGTATTCAGAAGGAAGGAAGGGGAGAGAGAGGGAGGGAGGGAGGGAGGGAGGGAGAGGGGGAGAGGGGGAGA